TCGTTTTCAGTGAAGTACAGGTACTCCACAATGTAATGAGTAAACAAGAAAGTAAATGATTTCAAGATCCTTTCTCAATTTTTGGATTGTCTCGATTAATATATGGATAAACGAATGTAAATGGTTGCCAAACGCAGTTTGCTAGAAATGTGCGCTCTCGATAGACGGCTACGCTATTATTTGGGGTGGGAGGACGGTACTCTCCATTTTTTCGGATGAGGGTGGTTATTGTGTTGCTAGGACGAATACAGTACAGGTTATCTTAGAGAAAATCCATTTACCAGAAGCCATGAGAAGCGCACGGTGTCGTGGGCAGGCAAACTGGTACTACATAAAACGATCTAAGCCAGGCGATTATTCGAGGACGGACGTCAACCTTTTCTAAATGGTGGAGCAACATAGCATGTGTCTTCATCAAACGCTCCGTACAAGTCAAAATGTACTACGTCCACGTCGTTGCTTTCATTTGAATGCTTCGCCCAAACATTAAGCGCCCGAAGTAGCGCAGAGTTTGTCGATTCATCCTCTTGGAAGCCATCTAATTAGGAAATGCAACCACGTTTTATCCGAAATATACCACATAGTAGTGACAAGTTTGGGGTATAAAATGTCTCTAGATCAACATAGAATCCCTTTAAAAAGATTCCCATGCGAACACCTATAATGTCTGATAGCTCGATTGAAAATGTTTTTTCAATAGGCTATTGCAGAATGCAGAAGTGTAGGAAATCCAAAAAAAAATAAAAATCGAGCTAACTAATTATGAACAATCATTTAACAAACCAGTCACACAAAGAGTCAATTTTTGATTCAAAGTTGAACATAGTGATAATGAAGAGCTCGAGATCCTTTTGCGTCAAACTAGAATACTTATTTGTCGTAGTAAACTACGCTAGATTCCTGCAAGAGCATCTACTTTCCATGCTTGCTAGTTATCCAGTGCCTCCCATTGAGGAACTCCCGTGCAGATATACAGGGTGGGTCAAAATTATGATTACACAGAAATCACATCGCAGAAAACGAATAGAAAGCCAATAGAGCAAACCAATTTCATTAAAAGGTTTAGCACAAATTTCTTATCAAAACTGTACATTGAGACTGGGATCTGTTGCTTTCTGCTTTCACCCAACCCCAAAGACGACGACGGACGGCATTGACGGTGGCACGCAGCTAGGGTCATCGGAATGGTC